TCCAGCTCCAGCTCCAGCTCCAGCTCCAGCTCCAGCTCCGGATCCGGATCCAGCGCCAGCTCGCGCACGGCTCCCATGCCAGGCCAAACCTCCGCAGCCTCCAGATACGTCTCGGCGCTCAGCTCCCCAGATCTCGTGCCTTGCGATGCCGCTGCACAATCCTCCGCTCAGGCGCTCATGGGCACCAGCGCGCAAGACTCGGACGACCTGGCGACACAGTTGCACTCGGTCCATGCTGCAGACGCACCCCACACCTCGTCTTCGCCCGTCGTCGCCCCACTCCTCCAACAGCGCGATAGCGGCAGCAGCGACGGAAGCGGCAGCGGCACAGAAGCCTCTCTAGCTCAGTCCGACATCTGCCGAACCCCGTCCACCTCAACAACAGGCTCCAGCCATGCCGGCAGCCTCGACACCGCCATCAGCTCCGTCCCCTCCGGCACCGAGTTCGAGTCCAACTACAAGTCTCACGTCGAAGAGCAATCCGCAGACACCCTCCGCGTCAGTGTCGCCGCCTACGATCCCTCCATCGCGCCCAGTCAGGCATCGCCCATCTCGCTCAGCTCCGAGGCCGACAACGCCCTGCTCGACTACTCGCCGCTCCCACACGACGCTTCCGCCGGCGCCAGCCTCGTCGAGGCAAAATTCGCCACCGCCAAGGTTCGCCGCTACGCCGCCCTCCTCGAGCTCATCGACACCGAGCGCAACTATGCCGACGACCTCGCCACCCTCGTCCTCGTCTTCTTCGACAACCTCTGCATGATGCCCTTCTTCAACGACCAGCCCGCGCGCCAGGCGCTCGTCATGCGCAACTCCCAAGACCTCCTCCGCACCCATCAAAAGCTCTCGGCAAAGCTCGACGCCATCCTCGTCGATCTCGGCCTGCGCAAGTCCGGTCAGCGTCACGCCGACGACCAAAAGACCGAGCTCGAAAAGGCGTTGAGTCCGCAGGCGGACGAGGCGGTCGTTCGCGCCGCAAAGCTCTTCAACCAGATGATGCCGCAACTCCAGTCCTACAAGGCTTTCTGCTCCAGGCACGGCGAGGCGCTCGCCCTCATCCGCGAGGCAGAGAAGCGCCATGCCGACTGGGACGCCTTCGAGAGGCACTGCGCCGACATCCTCCGCCTCACACAGCGCGCCCACAAGCACACCTCCTCCCGCCCACCCTCGGGTGCGACCACGCCCAGCGTCTGGGCCACCAACAGCCCGGCGTCGTACTTTATCCCCATCGCCTCGTCCTCCGCAACGCCCTCGCCCAACCTCGCCTCGGGCTCCACCTCGACCCTCACCGCCGCCACCACCGCCTCGGGCTCCAACCCGGGCAGCGCCGCTGCCACGCCCGCCACGGCGCCCAGCGTCATGCGCCAGAATTCGTCGCGCCTGCTCTTTCGCGATTTCCTCATCAAGCCCATCCAGCGCCTGTGCTTATACCCGCTCGTTCTGCAGACGCTGCAGAAGCACAGCTCCGCCACGGACGACTCGGTGGATGAGCTCGCCCTCGCCATCTCGCTCATGCGCGAGGTCGCAGATCAGGTCGACGAGGCCGGCAAGCGTCGCGAATCCGAGCTCCGCGCCGACCTCATCTCGTCGCGCATCGAGCCCAACCAGGGCGTCACGCTCTCCTTCCTCAAGTCGCTCGGCGATTGCCAGCTCTCGGGCACGCTCGACGTATTGCACCACCATCGCCTGCTCAATCCGCTCACCGCGCCGCTCCGCTTCAAGTACTTTGGCGTGTTTGTTTACCACAGCTTCCTCCTCATGGTCAAGGTGCGCAAAAACTCCACCTACGAATCCCGCCACTGGTTCCCGCTCTGGGCCGCGCGCCTCTCCAACGTCGAGGATGAGCAGAACCTCATCCCCAACTCGTTCCGCCTCTCGGTGCGCGATCACCACTTTGAGCTCGCCGCCTCCAACGCAAAGGAGCGCCAGCTCTGGATCGACATGCTCTCGCTCGCCATCTCGCGCGCCACCTTTTCGCCCCCCGGTTCCCAGGCCGCCTTCCCGTGCAGCCTCTACTTTGGCGATGCGCCCGATGGCGAGTCGCTCGAGGCCTCCGAAGCACCCACGCCCAACGCCAGCCGCCCCGCCGAATTCCAGGGCTACTTTGAGACGGCAAAGGCAGGCACCGTCGATCCGCTCATGGAGTTTCTGGCCATGCATGCCGCCGGAGCCGCACAGGCCACGGGGACCAACAACCGCGGCCAGCGCGCCTCCTCGTCCGGACCGTGGATGCCCACCGAGATCCTGCTGCGCCACGCCTCGTCCAACTCGCGAGCCATCGTGGACCGCGGCATGGTGCTGTCGGACGCCGTCATCTCGGCGAGGATCGCCCGTGACGGAGGCGCGCTTTCCACGTTGTATGCAGCTTCGGGGTCTGGCATCGGCTCGGCCGTCGGATCGTCGCTCGGTCTCAGCCGCCTTTCGGCCAAGGACACGGCGACGGTCAAGATCCAGCGCCGCAAGAGCTGTGCCGGTCTGCTCGAGAATGCCGATGCAGAAGACGATTCCAACAACCTCGTCTTCACCGCGACGCTCGTGCAGCCTGGCTCGCGATCGCGCTCGTCGACCCGGGGTCAGTTGGACGCAGTCTCGGAGCGAGAGGGCTGGAAGTCGTCGCTGCTCAAAAAGGCCAACCGCGTGCGTCCGACGAGCATCTTTGCGCCCAACGGCCTGAGCGTCAACACGGATGGATTGGCGAGTCCGGTGTGGGGCCCTGGGTCCGTGTCGACGCCAAGCTCGCCCATCACGGCTGGACGTGATTTGCTGGTGCACGAGTTTGGAAGCTTTGGCATCACGGGTTCGGTGCCTCTGAGTCCGACCACGCCGACGTCGCATGTGGCGGGCATCGGTGGTGCGGAGCTGGCGTCGCACTCGCTCACGTCGTCGCCCAACTCGGGGTCCAACTCGGCGGCCAATTCGACGGTGAACCTGCGCGCCCAGGGCCATGCGATGCCGACGCGCTCGCGCACGAGCCTGTACAGCATGAAGGACTCGTTGACCATGACGTTTGGCAAGCGTGTCCGTACGCGCTCGGTGCAGGGAGGCGTGGGCGAGGCAGATCCGATGCACGAGTTTGGTGTGGGATCGGCGCTGTCGTCAGCAGCGGCGTCGCCCATGGCGAGCAACGTGAGTCTGCCGCATGGCGAGGTGGTGGACAGCAGTTCGAGAAGGCCGTCGGCAGACGAGCTGTATCGCGGCCAGAAGGCGCGCTCGCGCACCAACTCGATCTCGTCGGTCACAGGGTCGATTCGACGAGTTTTTACCAGTGCATCCCTGGCCACGCTCAGCCACAAGCGGGGACAGAGCGAGGCAGTCAAGGTCGGCGGGTCCGTGCAGAGCGAGAGGCAGTTGGCCGAGACGGTGGTGGAGGAGGAAGCGGCCAAGATAGGAGGGACACTGCGCAGGTCCAGGACAATGCTCGATTATTCCAGGAGCTGGTTCCGTGGCTCGGCGACCAGTGTGGTGGAGCGTGTGAATGCTCAGGCTGTTGCACCTGCCACATCGCCCACGGCATCGCCCATGGCATCGCCCGGGCAGGAACAAGGTTCGCGCGGCGTAGGATCCAAGGGTGAGGGCATGAGGAGGGCTTCCGATACGCACGTGGGCACGGTCAACGCACAGCCGAGCAGAGCAAGGCAGTCGTCCAAAGTGTACAACAAGTTGAAGTTCTTGCACAACAACAAGCTCAGCCCCATGCAGTAGCAGGCCGATCAGCCGAGCAGGATCTAGCAGCACAACCCTACCCGACAGTAGTATAGCATAGGCCAGGTAGCTAGCACAGTAAGCAGTCGCAATCGCAGTCGCAATGCATGCTTTCCTTCTCCAGCATCCGCCGGTAGCACAGCCCCGCATCAGCCAGGTAGCACGCACAGAATGCATTCACCGTGCAAAGCTTTTGTTTCTCAGCACCGTGCCAACTGATGCCACAAGAGCATGCAGATGCGCGTGTCAGCCACAGTCGCGGGTTGCGGGGGGGGGGGGGGG